GCAAGCGGTGCCTCCAGGAACAATTGGCATATGCTCGAGTAGTGCAGAGGATTACCACTCAAATGTTTTGTTCGATATTTTTTTTCGTTGCACGATATTTTTTTAAAGTTCGAAGCACGATATTTTTTTAAAGTTCGAAGTGCTTGCCCGATATTTTTTTTGGGATTCTACCCCCCCCCCCCCCATCAAAAATCAAATGATCCGTACCTAATACGACATGGCAGCATTAACAAAAGGCGACAAAGTCATTAGCCAATGAGATTGCTTATCGCAGGTGGGTATCAAATCTAGCAGGTGAGTATCAAATCATTGCGGAAGGCTAGCGCTGTCGACCAATGAAAACAGTTTTTGAAGCTCATATTTTATGGGATAATGAAAATACAAAAACGTGCAAAAAATTACCAAAGCCCGCCCGCCTCGCAAAATGGCCCGATTTCATTGCTCGACATATACAAGTGATCTATGGTGACAACCGCTAATTACAGACGTCTAGTATTTCTATAATTATATTGGAACGAAACATTATTTCTTTTTTTAAAGAAACATTTTCTTGTTCTTAATCCTTTCGGCTTGCGGTCCCGAGATGTTTTGATATGCAGCCAGGCCATCGTCTCGATATAGCCCTATATTTCCTTTAATCATGGCCTTCTCTGACAATTTGTTCAGCATGTACAGGCCAACAAGCTCACATATTTCGGGCCCATCTTATTATCCCATTGTAACATCAAACAAGTTGTCGCTCGCTCTCTTAGTCCATGCAGTGTCACCGTCGAAGAGGAGGGATTTTCTAGTGTGCATTATAATGTTCATATCTTTTTGTGGTATGTCAATAAAATTCTTTGCAGACTCAATAGCTTTCTTTAGTAGGCTTTCAGTGATAGATGGGTAGAAATTGAAAGCAACATCGGTGTTGTAAGCAAATCTATTGTGGACAGAATAAACACCAGCATACAAAGCCAAACCGTTTTAAACCAATGGAGAAACTCGACATCAGTCATCGAGTGGTTCAAGAATATTTCAAACAAAGCTAACCACACATTTGTAATTTTTGACATTGACAATTTCTATGCTATAAAATACTAATTTTTTATATGCTCAAATTGAAACAAATCCATTGTGCTCGCACTGATTATATTGTGTGCAAAACTACAGTTACTACAGTACACTACTGAAATTGAATACAATGAAATAGTATTCTACTTCGATAATTTCAATCGGAGTCAAGATCACAGTTTAATAATTATTTTCAATCTATTGTAGTAATTCACTGTTTCCACGAGTTTTTATACCTTCCAAAAGCCACAATAAAGCTAAATTTTGTTTAATTAAATTTGTAGGAAATAACATTGTTTACTTCAAATAGTTGATCAGTGATACTGACCTTGTTATTACTGTCCCTTGCAACTACAGATGAACAGTCGCTCATACAAATTGCTTGCCTATTCATGTGAGAATCTTAAGTTTTCTTATTTTGAAATAATATATATTTCAATAAACATATTGATATTAAACTTATTGAATCAATATTTTAAGTTTCAGGCCAGTTAAACGAAAATTTATAAGCGCTTGCGCACCATAAAGGCGGATTTCCATTCAGTGCAAAATGTCACACAATCGACATTTTGCGATCACTTTCTTTTCAAATACAAGCAATCAAACATAACGGATCAGGTTGACTGAACGTATTTCAAAAGAAAGTGATTGCAAAAAGTTGATCTCGCGATATTTTACATGCAACATGTACGCACTGCGTACCTATTTTTCTGAAAGGTGGGGAAAATGAACAAAATTTTGCATCAAACTTGGTCAAACTTGTGTTTATACCTGAACATCTTTGCTTATAAAACAGCCATGTTTTTCATATTTCTTCAGCGACATGTTCTTGCCACAATCTTCACAAAATACTTGTCTGTATTCACAAACCTCGCTCGTGTGTTCCTCTAAATCTGCCATGTTTACAACAGCCTCGCATCTTTCGTTAGGACACGTTACAGGTTTATACTCGCACATGGAAATGTGAGTTTCAAGAAGGCCAAGCTCGACAAATTCAACACATCCTCGTTCCTTGTGCTCGCAATTGATCATCAAACCATCGAGATAGCCTGTCACACTTCTTGCTGGCTTGGATAACGCTTCTTCCGTGAGTTCTTGCATACGAACGGGGCACACAGAATAAGGACCTGGATTCCACAGCCTTCGACAGTAAATAATAAATTGAAACGTCGCGAACAGTGTGACCAGATTATAAAATTCGATTATGCTAAATAGCTGAGAAAATTATGCTAAATCATGATAAATTGTGCTTAAATGTAGAAAATTTTTTTCGTCGACCTCCCCCCCCCTCGGTCGAAAAAAATTTTCTCACATACACCTAATCAAAGGTCAAAAAAAATTTTTAGGACAAATTCCTGTTAATACATGCGTGAAACCTTATAAAACCATATTTGAAATTTGAAAAAAGAACTTTTTCAGCATTATGCTAACATTATGCTCAAGCAGTTATGTTATGCTAAAATTATGCTAAATTTTCATTATTCCAAATCTCTTCAAAAAATTGTGAAATTACGCTAAACTAGCATAATTATGCTAAATCTGGTCACACTGGTCGCGAAGGCTCTGGTTCAACGGGGAGGTTCTTTGATTAAACCGCGCCAATCACAAAACAGAATTAGTGGTTTTAGTATAGAATCTGTACTAAAACCACTAATTCTGTTTTGATTGGCGCGGTTTAATCAAAGAATCTCCCCGTTGAACCAGAGGCTTCGCGACGTTTCCATTTATTATTTACTGTCGAAGGCTCTGGAATCAGTGGCGGCGCCAGGCCTCAGAATTTAGGGGGGGGGGGGGGG